TWTTWTTTTTTTTCTTTGTTTTTGTTAGGCTAAAATAAAATTATGAAAACATTACTTACAAAATTGACGAGAACCATTTTCGTGCTATAATTTCGTTTGACGCGTGAAATTTGCTGTGGACACCTTTTTAATTTTGACCATAAACGTTTGGGCAGCTTTAAACTTCTTTGGGTGCGGTTCATACCAATTCGAGAAAAACGCGTTTTAAGTTTGCTAGCCTCGGGCGCACAGGTTTTCAAGGCTGAATCTCCGAAACTGTTATTCGGATCAACTTAAAAATTTAGGACAATATTCTACAGGTGATGTAGAACTTAACAAGATAATAAAAAAAATTTTTAAACCCATAATCCCATGTGAACCATATGTGGAATCCATGGTCATAGTACGATTTTATTAATTTTTTAATTTTTTGAAAAATGCACTAAAAATGGAATGATTTTATACCATTGAAAAATTTTTCCGAATCGTCCTATTTTTTGACTTATTATACGTAAACAGTGCCCAAAAATTAACGCAAAATTTAAATTTATCGGCATAAGTAAAGTGTTGACAACCCTAAAGTGGAGTGTTAGGAATAGAAAAACCATTGTATTGAAAAAATTTTAGAAATACTGAAAGCTTGGCGGTCGTAGAACCAAAATTTCGTATGATATATAATCGTAATAAATTTAACTTCGTCAACTGTGAAGAGATTCTGAAATGGCGGCAACTTTGAAATCAAACACAACATTTCGCATCAAAGTATCGGGTTGTCGTCATTGGTTGGGTAGACAGACAAACATGCGGCAATTAGTTTGATATATGTTAAAGTATATATATTAAAGTTTTTTCATGAAAATTTTGTCCGAAATTGGGAAAAAGGTAGTAGTTCTGGGTAGTATTCCGATTTCTAGGGAAAAAATAATTTATTTTGGCTCTATATAACGTTATCTAAAATACAAATTACTGTAACATCACTTTTCTTAAGATAGCAGGCGAAGAAAAACGATATAATAACTATAATAGACAACACTTTTTTGAAACAAAATTTGAGTTTTGGTTATAAAATGGTTATATGTATGTATTTTGTATTGGTATTTTAAAATTTTATGCTACATATTTGTTGCATGATGTATTGAATCTTTTGCATTTTAAGTGACGATATATATCCTAGATCTTTCTAGCCTAATACCTAACATATATAAATTTAATTATGCAAATATTAAAATAAAATTTGAAAAAACTAATTTAACCAAAATTTAACTAAGTCAACTAAATAAGCGAACGCTACTTTAAACAATGTTTGCAATATTTGCAATGTCATGAAAGAGATTAAAATTCAAATGCCCAAATAAGCAAATTACAAAATTAAAATTTGCCCAAAAACCTTTAGTTCTAAGGCAAGCCAGATTTATTATGACTTAGCATTTTGCAAAACAAACCAGATTGTGTACAAAGCGATATTTTTGCAACCGCAAAAAAGGTGAAAAGCATAATGAACAACTGAAAATATGAAACAAAGTTTGACTTTTTCGCACCGCGTGTCAAAACAAAATTCAACGCACACACACACACACACAATATGATATGCTATGGCAATGTATCTAACTCTGTTTAATATTTTGGCATTAAGTCACTCAAATTTTTGCGAAAATATGACACAATAACGGGCTGTGACAAAACAAAAATTTAGAAACATGCACACACGTAACCACATACTATATATTTATATATATGTATTTGTATATGATTTTACATATTTGTATAAACTTTTCACTTTGCTTTGCTATTCATATTTTCTCATTGTTCTTTTACATGCACCCAGGTGAAACTTACTGCGCTGGCACATTTGATGGTTGGCTCTGTTGGCCGGATACTGCCGCCGGCACTTCCGCCTACGAACGCTGCCCGGAATTCATAACCGGCTTCGATCCGACAAGTAAGTTTGAAAACATCAAAGAAATATTTACAACGAGAMAAACACTTTTTGTAATATATATTSCATACTATACATATATGTAACTGTGCGGATGTTTGTGTGCCACTTTGCGTCAGTAGGAAATTGCACAAATGAAGGAGGAAAAAGGAAACTGCCAGCTGGCAGCTTAACCTTAACCGATTGCACGCTTAAAGCGGGTCATATAAAACTGTCAACAGCAATTTATACGAGCGTCAATACACACAYACATACATACATACATTTAATATATACCTGTTTATACATGTTTGCATACTCTAGGGCGTATTTTGCTCGCCCACCGCCGCTTGCGTTCGCATAAGCGTTTGATATTGTATTTTGTCTGTTTTGTTTTTTGTGCGCTTTGTGCTTTTGCTTTTAGCCGCTGAGACGCACATTAAATTGAAATGAAAACTCAACCGCCAACAGCAGGCAGTCATGTGGAGGGAAAACATAAACACCTAACCAATACCCAAAGGATCAGCCAACAATAACAAAGTGCCTTACTTTTCTTTCATTTTATTTGTAAGAGAAGTAGCAAGCAGCAGTAGAAAATTGCACAAAACGAAAATGTTAATATTTAAATGCTGCAGCAAGCATGCTTAGCATTTTGCGGAAACCAATAGTTAACCGCTTGCTGCCTAAAGTAGCCGCAAWCAAATCCGCAATGACAGCGAGACCTTCTTTGGCAATAGCGTGTAATTGTTTGAAATAAATTCAGATTTCTCTATTGAGTAGGGTATTTTGCCTGCGGCTTAACCTCAGCAATCTACATTTACATATTCACTCATACTGATATAACATTTTATCTTGCTGAAATGCACTGCGTGAGTTGCGTTTACTGGTAGTAATAAATTTTATCCAAACGCAGACCAACATTCAATGCGTTTTGCTAAAGAGCAATTGCTTTAGCCTTTTACTATTTTTAGCCAAATTGGAGCTCACCTCTAAAGCCGATTTATTGCTTTTCTATTTCTATGTCTGCAAGTTGATTAATTCGATTTTGAAATGATATGCATGCTYGGCTTTCGGCTCAAGCTAATCCACCCCAGTCGTTGTAATTAATTTGATTTACTATTGTTGTTTGGCAAARTTATTATAAGTATGTTAGAGTGCATATGGCATTTATATTGCTCTTTCGTTGCTTTAAAGGTAAGAAGAGCATACTTMTGCATTTTCTGTGATTCTTATGCCAAAAATTCAATGAGATTGAATTCATAAAAGATTTGAAATCACTTTGTACGTCCATCTTACTATCGTTTAATGGCAGAGTTTTTATATTTATATTAAAAGCGTGTGATATACATGGAGGTGGCTCGCCAAACCCCCTTGTACTTTGCAAAAGATTGTGTAGATTAGGCACTGTCATTGTTTTGGGTTTCCTTCTTTCGTATTTAGAGGCCATACGCTCCCTATCGGATGGTGATTCAGACTATTTCGTGGTCAATCTAATGAAGTACTACCCAAATGTTATCCATGAAGTGAGAAAATAAACGAATTAACTGAAAAGTATTTACGGGAATAAATAATATTCATTATGTAACTTACAGAGCTTACGCGATAACAAAGTGTGGTATTCGCTCGATTTAAATTTTTCTTCAACTGGTGGCTCATTTCATCGATTACACTTTCAATAGCACTAAACTTTTTTCCAGCGAATATTTTTTTGAAAAAAAAAAATTTTTATTTTTTTTGTCAATTATTTCTTAATTTGTTGGATCTGCTCTTTTTTAAGTCTAACAATAAGTTTTCAAGTCTTAAATCAATTTAATTGCTGACATCTATGACCAAAGAGTCGGTGGCTAAAATTTAGAGAAATGTTAGTTGCGAAAAATACTCGAAAAATGTTACCACAATATTCTTCGATTTAAAACACGACTTATGATCTCTACTAAGAGTTTAAAATTAATATCATTACCCAATGTTCCCACACGATGTGTTCAAAGCGTTCCGGTCAGGTGTCCTCAGTTTCCCCTTTTCACCCAAAACAAGGTCTTCCTTTGTTATCTTCAGAATATCAGCGCACTCCATCAACTTAATTTTACGATAAACACAAATCGTTCTGAGGAATTTTTGTGTTTTCGTCCACTACTTTCTTCTTCATTGTTGTCATCTTGAAGTTTGAGCGCTCGCTTATGCAATTATTAGCCATCTTCAAATACTCCACTTATCTGCTAATTATGTGTGAGTGCCGCTTTCAGCACCAAACTTATACAATTGAGTTTAAAGTTAATGAGAAAGAGTGACTTTCCGATTAAAAAATAGTTATTAAGGGGTATCTACTTCCACTTATGGTGCCTCAAAGTCATCCAATAATTCCATAACATTAAAATATTCATTGCATAGATGTATAACGTCACCGTATAGGACACATAATATTTTATCTAAGCTTATGGTGGCTGCGTTTATTATGACTGAATTCTAAATTAGTAAAGAACTAGCTTTCGTAACCTGCTCATAAGTATAACGATGTTCTATTTATATATACTAGTTTGAAAATAATGTTTGAATATGATATGATTAATTACTTCTGGTAATATTTTCTAAAATTGAAATTTTTATAGACCTAAGTTCTGAATTACCAATGTTAAGTTTACATAAATTGGTTCGCATGAACATTAGACCAAGAAAATTTGTCCAATAATTCCGTTTTTTTTTTTTTCCATTTAGCTGTGAACGCGATGACTCTCTCCTCTCCTGTTAAAAAATTACATGTAAGGTGTAAGGTGGAGAGAGTATACAGTTGACTCATTTGAGTTATCTTCAATGTTACCAAGTTTTGTTTTGCATTTTAGGTCATTTTTTTTTTTTTTTTTTTTTTTTTTTTTTTTTTTTTTTTTTTTTTTTTTTTTTTTTTTTTTTTTTTTTTTTTTTTTTTTTTTTTTTCTCTAAACTTAAGGCTATCTTTAACAGGTCGGGAGTAATGAGTGAATTGAAATAACTTATATTCGGGTTAGGTCTTTTTTCTTTACGTCGAGAAAGGACTTTACTTCCAAATTGGCTACTCAGTGCAAATTAGCACCTTTTGCCATAAGTTATTCTGCGTTGAATTTCGGGGTTGACATGGTTGTTGGTGTTAATGCTGGTTACAAGAGAGACGAAGTTATCTGCGACTGCGAAGTTATGATTGTCAACAGTGACGTGAGAGACTGGAGATATTTCGTCTTGCCCTCATTCACTGCTAGATCCATTTGCTTCGCTTCCTTATCCATTTTGAAGAAACAAACTGTTCGATTCACTACTTGTACTATACATATAATTAACTATAATATGAAAGAATAGAATACAAAATCTTATAATTCTCAAAATTCAGAAACAAAAATTAGTTTTCCACCCATTCTCTATGCATTTGAAGTTCTCATCACATATTTTGACAAACTACATCTCAAACCTCCATTTGCTTTCATTCATTAGTTACAAAATCTTGCATGACAAGACCTACCACACGCTAAATTACAAATATTTATTTAATAAAAAACGTAACCGTGTTAATGAATAGCAGAAGCGTGATATTTATAAATGACAAGTACTAATAAAAACTGCCAACCAAGCTCGTAAAGCAAAACCAAAATCAGCTGCACAAACAAAAATAAGCGAAATGCTCATGACACATACTAAGTAATATATGGTTTTGTAGCTAAAAATAAAACCAGTGCAAGGATGTGCCAACTTGAGCTTTAAACGACAAGTAATCAGCGAGCAAACAAGAACCACAAGCAGAGTCAACAACAGCAGCACTAACACCAGCGACTTGAAATGATATTTAACACATGAACCAGAGCAACAGGAGCACAACCAACCAAGCGACAATTGCTGCAGAGCAAATACCTACTATACACACACGAAAGCAAATAAATCGGGTGGCAACTCACCGAATAACCAAGTCAAACAAGCATTCGGCTCAATAATTTAGCAAGCCATATTTTATCACCCGCAGGTCAACATTTTGCGCGCTCGCAGAGCACTCAACTGCAGCTTCATCATCCGTTATGCGCCGCTTTCATGGTGCTGCATACTCAGGCACTAAAATTTCTATTTCTCCGTTTGTTKTGCGGAACAAGTCAAATTGATAACACGCGAAATGCTATCGGTCTGCATATATATAATCATATAAGTATATATACTATATATACCACAGTAGTAGTAGTGTTGAACGAGCAAGCTTGTAAGATATAATATATGACTGCATGGTACCACAAGCGAGCATGCCACAATGCCTAATTGGCAAACATTTCGCAGCGTGTTGGCCCCCCGCAATGTTTCAAGCGACACAGGTCACAGTATGCAAAGTCTGTTATATTATATAATTATTTATTTAGTGGACAGATTAAATAAAATACAACGAGTGATGAAGTTCACATTTACGAGCAAGACAACTTTTTATATACACACCCACATTTATGCTTTACGCATTCTTCAGAGCAAATMTATTGATTCTAGTTTTATATAGAACTATTTTAGATCTCTTTTGGTGGGTCATGAAAATCTGTCTGTCGACTTTTCCGAGAGTTCAAGAGCAACGGTTTGTTACTATTGAAAAGACTTCAAAACCGACTTCACCTAAGATCATTACTAATAATTCTTTTAAATTCGGTGTAATCGGCTCTAATAGACAGTTTTCTCGAAATGCTGTTTTCAAAAGAAATTTCCTCCGGAACGGTTGAACCGATCGACTTGAAATTTGCACTCGACCCTATAGATATATTTGACAGGTAGTTTTTAAAGGAAAAAGATTTATAATAAAAATTTCAATATTTTAAGCCTCTCTAAAGTGTTCAGTTTACAAAACACGACTCTATTGTGAAGCGGTTTTTGTTTTTTCATTTTTTTTTTTTTTTTTGTTTTTTTTTGTTTTGTTAAAAATCAAAATTTTGACTTACTCTTCGATCAATACCTGTATTCAGATATATTTATAATATTTTTGGGGTTTGGAATAATTTTTAGCATTTTAACGCCACAAATTGATTTTCGAAGGTGCTCCT